ATCGCTTCACTGTGGCATCAACAGGCTGCTATAAAAAAAACGTGTCATTAACGAACTTCCATATCGAGACGCTGCAGGAAAACAAGTTTCAACGTCATTTTCCTTCACCTCAAAACACATGTTCTTCTCTTTCGACTCTGTTCCCATCATGCTCTCTGCTGAGTTCCCATCATGCTCTCTGCTGAGTTCCCATCATGCTCAATCTTCTGTCACTTTCTGTCTCTAACGTCAAACGTCTTCCTCAGTCCAACATGAACTTCACTGACACCAAAGAGAGGAAGCTAACACAACAGGAAGTGACATCACGAGAGGGACCAGGCATGTGGAGGGGGAGTTAGACAAAACGACGAATCAAGTTGTTCCTCTCTGGTTCCAGGAACTCGTCGAGCAGAGCGGTCGTCACCTTTGTAAGCTCCTCCTCCAGACTGGACACGTCACTGCAACAGACACACCCACAGATCACACACTGATCACTTTGTCGGGTTAAATACTACGACAACATTTTCTCTGGATGAATCAAAGATCCAGGATGAAGCAGAGGGAGGTTGTGATGTCACAGTCAGCTGACCTTTTCCCCGGCGGCGCACAGAACTCTGTGTAATATTTGATCTTGGGTTCAGTGCCGCTGCTTCTCAGCGTGGCCACAACGCCGTTCTGAAGTGTGAAGGTGATCATCTGACTGCTCCTGGACACAGGAAGAACCTCCACAGGAAACACAGAGTCACATGATGTCACGAAAAACAATCATCACCTGGAACAGCTGCTTCCTGTTCACGTCTTACAGATCTAAAGTCCGTCTGGCTGCTGTCGTATCCCGTGGTAACGTCTCTGACATGGACGATACTGATGCCACCGCACGTCTTCGGGTACGATCCCTCGCCGTCAAAGTTTCTGATCCGACCAAAGATCTTCAGGATGGTGGGCGGGTGGTTACAGACGACGTAGGAGGTCTTAGACACATGAAAACCATACCTGCAGACAGGAAGCAGCAACAGAGAGGCGTCTCAATGTGATGATCCCGTTCAATCCAAAGACCGAACGAGCGTCTGCTCTGAACATGAACCAGCTCTTCACTCTCAAGTGTCTGCTGCTCCCTGGTGGAGGAAGCTGGGTAATGATCTGTCTTCATAAACTAATTCAATTAAATCTTTAAATTCGAATGAAAATCATCGAGAACATTTCAAACTGTTTCACCAAAGAATTAACACGAACCCTAAGATTTCTGAAGACAACAGAACTGAGTGTACGTATCAACACATACGTCTGGTAGATGTTGTGGAGCTGCTGGTTCAGACTCAGGCTCTTGTTGTGAAGGTAAGCGGCCATTTCTGCCACGACGGCTGCCGAGCTCACGCCATCTTTCTCAGGGACCATACTGCCGCACAGGAAACCTGATGTCACAGAGAGAAGTGTTTCTGTCGGGCTCCACTTCGCTCTTTACCAAGTGTTTGATCATTAAAAGGTGAAACCGCAGACTCAACAGTGAAGCTCTGCAGTTCACTTTTCATCATAACTAGTGGTCCTAGACGTCCGCACACAAAAATGAGCCAATCAGCTGCAGTTCAAATGTAGTGAGCACAAGGTCGAGAGATTTCAAAACATTCAGTTACCAATCGACTCCTCGAAGGAGAATATGACCGTGTTCCCTGTTTTGGAGAGTTCGTGCATCCTGTTCCCGATCCACTTAAACCCTGGAAGAGTTTCCTGTTCAACACAGAAACCAGAGATCATCATCCTCTTCCATCAGCCTGAGTCCAGGTGGAATCGTTCTGGTCTCACCTCAAAGTGGAACCCCTCCGTGTGAGCGAGGGCGCGCAGGATCTTGGACGACACCGTGGTGGCCAACATGTAAACGCTCCGAGTGTCTGCGGGATCTGGATGATTCTCCTTCCAGTTAAAGAACATCCACCAACCCAACAGAGCGGCCAGCTCATTACCTGTGAACACCTTCCAGCCACACCTGTGACGACACAGCGGGAATGTGTCAGAGCTTTTCTCTCTGACAACATGGACTGAAGTGCCTTTAAGCAAACATCACAGTTACCCATCAGACTTCTCTGCTACAGCCAAACGGTCGGCATCAGGATCCGTTGCCAAGACGATCTGAGCGTTCTCCCTCTCTGCCAGAAGAAGAGAAAGCTCCTGCAACATAGAAGAAAACTGACACTACAAAAACCCTGAGTGTACAAAATGAACCTTGAACATGGATCTGAGTCTCACCAGAACAGACTGTCCCTCCTCTGGGTTCGGACATCGGACAGAGGAGAAGTTGGGATCGGGGTCTTTCTGCTCAGGTACGGGAATCGGTGGTCTGAAGCCGAAGGTCTGGAAGGCCTGCTGGACGAAGACGTGTCCGACGCCGTGGAAGGACGAATGGACAAACTTCAAAGGACAGCTGCGATTTAGATCCCTGAGAAACAGAGACAATAGTTGACTGACTCCACCAGGGGGAGACGGTTTTTACAAAGATTCTGAGATTCACCAGTTTTCTTCTCTGGGATTTGATCTTATGTAAAAACTGAATCTACACTGAAGAGAACTGAAGAAATACTTTTTAGTTTTAATTCTACAGTTGAATAAGAAGATTTAAATACTACTATACTTTAATATACTATAATATTTTATCATTTGATCTTTTTTTGTTTTTGCTCTGTACAGCAAAACCAAAAGCTTTTTAAACTTCAACACGTAGAAGAGGAGAATATTCATCTTTAGGTTTTACACACATGGAGTTTACATGTTCAATCACATGTTCCACAAGTGTTTCCTGTTGATTCTGTGAGTCCAGAGATGTAACTTCACTGAACCAGGTCTGAGGATGTAGAGCTCCCTGTGTGAGCACCGAGCAGAACCTGAACCAGAACATTTAGTCTGAACCAAAATGTCCCGTCCCGATGTTCCCGCCAGGTCGAGCGTCCACGGATGCTGAGGTTCACTGGCAGTTCTGAGTTTCCCATGATGCTCCAGCTCAGATCATGTTCACCTTACTTCTCTGTTTTTGTTCAGTTTGACTTCAAATCTGAGATCAAACTATTTTTTTACTTCAATCCTGCGACTTCCTGTTTCTGTGTGTCCTGCAGCCTCATGACCTTTTATGGGCATTGATGGGACATTATGCTCAGTGGCTGTTCTACAGTGAGTTACTCCCCGGGTGAGACCCCCTCCGAGGTGTTCTTAGTAAACTTCTCAAGATCAAATGCAGACGAAGGAGCAGACACATGAACCGAGGAGTTATTGATGGTAGAAGATGTGAGGAGACATGTTGAGATCATGGTGCACCATCACAATCCTGCAGAGGTTTGGGGAACTGCTACACATCTTACTTGTGGAAGCAGAGGGAGGTGAGCTCATCCATGTAGCAGCGGTTGATTCGGGTCAGGGGCTCAGTCCTCAGGGAGCAGCTCTCCACCAGCTCCTCGTCCCAGCAGGAGGCGCTCCAGGGCTCCAGCTGCTCCTCGATGCTCCGCAGGATCTCCTTGTCATGAGGCGCGGAGATCTGAGCGCCGTTACACCAGTACACCTGCAGGGGGAGGTACAGCAGTGATATTCAGCTCATTCTCTTCTCTTCTTTCTTTAACGTGCGTCTCTGACCTTGTACCCGTTGTCTTCTTTAGGATTATGTGAAGCGGTGATCATGACTCCAGCTGCTGCTCCTAGTTTCTTCACAGCATACGGCTAAAAAACACAAAAACAAAACAGGTGTAACAGCTGATTGTGTTTCGGTGTGCGTCGTCCTGTTGACACAGATGATGACATCACTGGCGTTTCCTCACCACGAATGGCGTGGGGACAAACGTGGAGAAAAGATGAACGGGGACGTCTCTACTGAGCATCACAGCCGCCGTTAACTTTGCCAACCTGAAAGATGCACATCGTTATGTCCCGGTGACTCCGCCCCCTCGTGCATGTGGTTTCTGGTTTGTCACATGATCATTGGACGTCTGGAGGAACTCACCTCTGACTGCTGCAACCGCTCTCTTCCTGTCCTCTGGTGTCAAAACCAACCACCACACCTCTGCTGCTGAAGTCAGCAAAGTACCTGGACAGGTATGAACACAGACCCTGAACAAGAGAACAACGTGAACCTTGTGAAAAACACCGGATCCATTACAACTCATTCATCTGATCGGTCCAGTCTATGTACTGGTCTGACCTGTGTGGACTGGATGACAGTGAGGTCATTGATTCGGTTGAACCCGGCTCCCATCGGTGCTCGGAGTCCGGCCGTGCCAAAGCTCATCCTGCTGCAGAGTCTAGACCTCAGAGCGTCAAACTGAGCCTCGGACAAAAGACACTCCACCTGAGACCGGGTCCATCGGTTCTACAGAACA